CAAATATATCACTACATCCAATAGGTGAAATCAGTGTTAATAGTAAAAACACATAAAAAGCAATTCCATGAAAGTGCTCTAATCCTCAAAGTGTTTCAAACAAATACATGAAAAGTCAATTCTATTACATAATACATAATACATAATACATTGTATCGTGCGTTGCAGTAAAGTGCTGCAAAACACGCCTTTTACCATGGCTTACCACAACACATAGGTTTGAAACTAGCCTGAAAGATTTTCCCTCTATCCCTGTTCCAGTGACCACTGTAAAATTTGGGATTTTCCAGCACTTTCTGTCCTTCTATAAAAGTACACATTTATGCACTTTAAAGACAATTCGAATAGACAACACTGATCAGCCAATACAATGCAACTAAACTAGGTGGACCAATGCCATTCCTTTCCTGAGAATGACTGTCACTATCACAGGGTTTCTTGCTATACTCATATTGCTGTAATGTTCCATATGACTGTAGTCTGAATTTTGTAGCTGTAAGATAGCTTCTAAATTAAAGCAACATGCTAACAATGAGAGAAATACTAAGGCACTATGCAATCTATGTACTGGTAAACTCTGATACCGATACTATTTTTATGCGGATGTCATAAAGCTAGTGTAATCATACAAGTTTACAATGAGTATAAAGCAGTTACTTTTGCAATCACCTTCTAATTACTAGTAAAGCCCTGAGGGTTGATCTTGTTAATTACATTCACAGTCTCTAGACAATGCCTTCCAGACTGTTAAACCTTAACAATTATTATTATTTCATTCAAGATTATTGCATTAATGCTAGGCATAGGCTACATTCATATGGACTTCAAATGGGGGTGACCAGCATGTGTTTTCAAAAACTTCTCAATGTCCTCCAGAACCTAAAAGAGTGCACTGAGCAAAATGGCTTAAGGCATACTTCCCATTCGTCAACCTTTGCTTTGCAACTCGCTGAGCTGAACGTTTCATGCAATATTCAATTAGTGTTATTCTGTTGGATTCAATTGCTGCTCAACAGGGGAGTCTTGACCATTTGTGCTAAACGGAGCCTTCAAAACACCTTGCCGGGGTGCTCATATGCATCCAACGCCATGTGAGTTCCGCCCTAACAATGCTACAATGGACCTGTGAGAGACACGGCCTTTGAGGATACAAGGGGTAGTCCTGCATGGGGTCCATGTAGCACCCACTCTGTGACACTTTCTTAGAAAAAAGATTGCACACCAGCTTTTCCACCTGGTTGAGAAGCCACAAGTGCCTAAACATAGGTAGGACCTTGTAAGTGTCAGGAAGAGAGCCAGACTTGGGCTTGTTACTGCAGCTAGGAGAGGAAGAGTCCACACAAAATTTAGTGGCTCTGTTATTCCAAAACATTTGCAACTGCTGGGCAGAAGGCTGGAGATGTTTTCACTTTTAAAGCATAAATGCTGGTAATAAAACTACTGACATTTCTGTATAGATTAACCTGTGTTCCTATCCTCAAAAGTGTAGTGAAAATATGTGCTTAGACTGTTAAACTGAGATCTTTACAATCTTAATACAAATTAGTAAACTAAATGTGAGATTGTTAAATAGAACCTTTTCATAGACATATTCATCAGACAAAAAAGAGGGTCAAATGAAGAGCAAAGAGGAACAGAAGGATTTGGTTCCAAATGAAGGACAGTCCCTCCAAACGAGGGACAGTTGGAAGATATGGCTAAACCTCAAGATCTCTAGGTGCTTCAGCCAAGCGTTGCAAAATCTATGAGATGGGTTTTCAGGCTCAACCAAAACTTTTTGTTCAACCAGGTACAACAAAAGTAATCACAGGACAATTATAAAAGCTTACAGGCGTCTAGTGATCAACAGAGACAGTCAAGGCAAGGAGTGCTCAAGTTTTCTCATCAGAGGCTTCAGATGATAATCTCAAATGTACCAATTTATTTAAGAATTTGGAGAAGTATTTGAGCAAAGAATGATGCCTGTGGTGGGATGTAGCCTCTTCGAGTACATTAAGAACAACGGATGCTGAGGGGACTAAGAATAAAAAAGTTTCCCTCATTTGAGGTAACAGATGAGAAATCAAGACTGGCTTATGGTCTTAGATGAAGCTTCATTCAAACTGATGAGTCTGATTGTTGCATATGAACAAACAATTTTGGATCAGATACATACTAACATAGACCATATAAATGCGAATTGAAGAAGAACCGATCAAAGAAGAACCGATCTTTAAACAAATGGATGAACAGCTAAATCAGACTTTGAATTCCCTTGAGGAAGAGATTATACAAACAAAATGCTCTAAATTCACACGTGATCAACAAGATTATACCTAAGCCAAAGTGTATAATTGGGAAGGCCGGACCTATAGATGGTATCAGAAGTGGTTTAAGAGTGAAAAGAGGACCTCTAACCTAAAATCTAATTCTACTCCTAGCCAAACGCCCAAAAGATTGAGCTTCTCTGACACGGAGGGAGAATATTCTACATCGGCTATTTCTACCTCAACATCACTGTTGGATGTAAATGTGAGGAAGAGGAAAATGCCAGATACATTCTCGAGTGATGGAGACATACGGAGGGGTATGAAACAATATAAAACACATAAACAAGGACAAAAGACAAAGGGGAATATTCACTAAGCTGCCAAAGGCAACCGAGTGAATAACCAAGCCGAAGTGAACTGAGTCAAACTGCGTTCGGCTATTCACTTCGGCTCTGTCAGGCTAATTCCAGCCGTACATTGGCGAAAATCAGCCATACATCTGCTGGCTTCGGCTGCCTTCAGTCAGCTGAACATGCTCAGCATATTCAGCTGAGCCGAATATTTTATACAATCTGTGGATTTAAAAAGTATTTAAACATATTTATGGATTTCATCCTCTTTACATCTTTTTTATATTCCTCTGTTGTGTCATGGATATAATGATTTTTTTTAGATTTTCCCAAAGGTATTGATAGTTAGCCCTAGTGATAATTTTTTTAGAGTTCTATTTCTTTTATAATGATTATTAACAAAATTAATGATTTTAATATATGACAATGGGAGACGATTCAATATTGGCTGTAAGCATTTCTCCTATTCATGTACCTGTGTCTTTTTGTATAGATATTTATTTAAATTACTATGATCTAAAATATTATTATCAATTTGTTGATGCAGGTTATATTTAAATGTGATTTTGTATGGGAGATTGCATGGAGATCTGCTCACTCAGCACGACAAATTTTCTATATAGATATATTTAATATTTGCTATTCGTCTCTCATTGTCACATTAGTGGATTGATGTGATTTGGTTTTATATAAGAATTGTTAAATTGAGAAAAGTTTGTATCCATTTGCAGATGCCTGCTGTGGTCACGGCTTACCAACGTTCTTTGGTTATTTTCATGTGATGTCGGCTTGCCTTTGGTCTTTACCGCCCTGCTCTATGTGTGATCTTTTTGACTGGGGGTGTGATGCAATTTGTTGTCCCCCTATGTATGGTATTTGGAAATTCTTTCTAGCCAGGTTAGTGTACTCTACGACCTGGCAGATATAAGCATTTGGAAAAATAGAGACTTCACCTCTATGATTCACCCCAGGTGGTGAAACGCGTGAGTGGTGCTGAAGTGGGAGAGATCTTATGATGGTGTACATGCTGTATTTACCCAAAACTTTGGACTTTGTATAGAATTTACAACAATAAACTTGGATTTTATGGATTCCGGTCTTGTGCAGCTGATTGGAGAGATATTGTTTAAGGAGTGGGAGCACACTACAGTCTGCACCCAGTGTGTATACTGATTTGCAGTCAGAGGTGGAATGGAGCAATGAGTCTTTGCTTTTCTAGATATGACAGGTGGGGTCGTCACAACCACTAATCTATTCACTTAATGATCAGATATTGATCAGCCTTTTAAGTTGCTTTTCTATTGCATAAACAAGTCAATGATTAGCAGTTTAAATATATAAAGCTGCATACTGTACGCTCTTAAAAAAAGAGTCTTCAAGAGGGTAATTTAATTGCTTGAAACGTTGTATGCAAACACAGAACAGAAGGCCTCTAATATTAAAGTTGCTTATTAATAGCAGAATATTCATGCTATTCAAATTAATAAGCTGGTCATGCCATGTAAAACATAAGTTCTCATCAAATTTGAAATGGCAGAAGAGATAAAAAGTCACGTACATTCGCACTCCAATCATGCTTTAGCATCTGCTGTACTGGGAGATTCTGGAAAAAGATATTTACATAAGCTCTCACATCATATCAGATCTGTACTTATTTTCTCTTTCTACATAAATCCACTTAAGCATATGTGTGCTGGCTAGCCACACTTGTATAAAACAGCTTGAATCCTAAGCGTGAAGCCAGAAAAGCAGATTTTCAGTGTAGGGGGTCTTATACATGAGACATTTCACTGATTCCTGATAAAGTAAAGCTGAAAATCATTGTACATTAAATTAGGAAACTCGCAGCTTTGTATTGACGGTTCTTTGTTTATTCATTGGAATTTTTTATCCATTGGGGCCTATTTTATAGTGTTAAATGCAGTTAACTTGTTAAATCTAGAAAAGCAGTGTCAGTGTCTTCATACTGTCTTAAAGTGCACTTTCACTGATACAGAACACTTTTCATCCCTACAATCCCCTTTCCTTTTCATCCCAACCCCCCACCTAGGCAAAAATGACATCTCCACCGCTTCTGAAGCCTCCTGTTATATGCATGTCACATATCCCAAGAAGCAAAAGCTTCAACACAGAGAAAAAAAAGCCAGAGAAGTGGGGCCTGGCTGCTTGAACCAGGAAGGGACAGCTAGCTCCCAAAAACATCAGAAAGGAAGATGGTGTAATAGGACCCGGCATTGAGCAGTGGATTGGCGGATTACCACAGGCCAACACTGGATTCAACAGGTGTGTGAGTATGTATTTTGAGCACAACCGAGTGGACATGGTAAGAGGGGAATTAATACAAACGTTATGGGGGAGTGAAATTTAAGTTCATTGGTGGGGACATTCACTTGGTACTTACTTCTTTAAAACAGCAATTTCATTTTCTATGCTGCTCTCCTTCCCTTTTAGAGCTTTCTTTGGGATACACTTCACTGCAAAAAGTTTACCGGTCACCTTATCTTCGGCTAACACCACTTCTGAGAATGCTCCCCTATGGAAAAAACAACACACAAAGTTAGAGATACCAGTTTTATTGCATGCAGGTCTTCAGAACATGCAGGTCACAAAATATGAGTGGATAAAGAAATAACATCTTATTTTTTATGGGAATTACATAATGCTATAAATACAAATACTTATAAAAAGTCAGTAAAATGCACAAAACATAGTCATGGTGGAAAGAAACCCTAAAAGCTGAACTCTAGGAATAATCTATTTTTATCTCTATTCAGAAAATGTGTTGTATTCTTTTCAGTGAACACAAGGCATTCTCTGATTGGACGAGGTGGAAGGCTGATGACATCACAAACTACCCTCATCCAATGAAAGAATGCCTTCTATCAATTTAAAAGTACTGAAGTTGCTCCAGCACCCGAGAAAAGGAAAACATTTCCTATATGAGGTACTGACTACTACAGTGATTTCAAGACTCATCTGCAGTCCTCCAGATGTGACATATTGATAATTACAGGTAAAAAAGCTGTCCCAAACTAACAGGGTTATTCACAAAAGGGTGAAGAGTTTGGAGAAGGCAGGAGAAGTGAACAATCTAGGACAACATAGCTGAACTGGAAAGTGAGCTGAATTGGAAAATTTCTCCAAATCAGCTATGTTGTCCTAGATTGTTCACTACTGCCTTCTCCAAACTCTTCACCCTTTTGTGAATAACCCTGTAAGTGTTATAAATAGGTTATTCCTAGAGTTAGGCTTTAAAAAAACAATAGGAAAAACAATTATTTAAGACGTAGGTATAAGAAAATGTATTATAATAGGGAACCACATAATATCTAAAGCCACAAGTGGGTAATGAATGCTTTGGATCACCTGTCTGTAAACATAATCAACCTAAAAGTTGTTTCCCTGATATAGAACACAAACTATTGTAATTTTATCTGGACCTCTTTGAGATTATCAGAATGGCTTGGTACCAGTGCAATGTCATCTCTGATATGGGCTGTGTATTTACTAAGTAGAACCCATGAAAAATATTTAATTCATCCACTGAACACATGTCCACAGCTAAGGGGTGTCGTAGACATGTATTGTTATCTAGAACACATGGTCGCTTCAGTGGCTCTTCCTACTCTTCAACGTCTACGAAAGCTTTGCCTCAGATACTAATCTATAAATAACATATATAAAAAGCTGACAACTCACATAAGCATTGTACAATTCTAGAAAACAATGAGTATTAATAAATAAGTAAGAGTGATGTCCCTAGTACAATATCCCATAGCAAGCAATCAGAAGTCATTCTTTCAGTTGTTGGATTACAGTGTAATTAAAACATATTGGTTGTTGCAGGTTAATGCCACCATTCCTCTTTGCATTGCCTTGCTCAAAAACTCCACACATATGCCCAGAAAAAGGCACACAGCTGATGATTAAACAGCTTAAACAAAGGTGCTAAACCCTGAGAAGCCTGTACGCTAGCATTTTCAGCAGGAGCTCTCCAGGACTGCTTGCATATAATTCTAAGCACAAGTTATATATATGTGTATACAGTATATAAATATATATAGAGAGAGATCTCTCTCTAGATAGATATAGATATATCTATCTATATCTATAGATATAGATAGATATATCTATATCTATAGATATATCTATATCTATATATATAAAAGAGCAAAGTTTAACAGCAAAGAAAAAACACTTTTCTCAAAAATATTCAGATACAAGTAATGTCATTTTCTGTTCTTTGTTGGCTGAATGACATACAAATGATCTTCTATTGAATACACAGTGATGATGGATTAGGCCAGCACTGTTGCTTACAGATCCACTCGGTTCATTGATCTGTTTACCATTAATACAGAAATCTGCAGAAAAACACCAATTTTATGAGGAACATTTCTTTGTCATCTTAATCAAAACGTTTTATTGAGTCTACAAAGTATGATTTGTTTTCCATACCATGCTAAAAAACAGTGATATGTAAGGGAAAGAATATACATGCAATACAGAATTGGAGTGTAAATACCATAAAAAAAAAATACAATGCACAACTAGCAGTCTCTAGCAATAGTGCTAAGATCCGAAACTTAAATGCTGAGCTAATAGTCATGCAGATTTTTACTTTTGCACCAGCAGTCCTATTTAATAAAGATCTCTGGCTCTTTATAAGTATTGTTTGGCCCGGTTCCACTGCAATACATTCTCACCGTTCCCCTGCTGAATTGGAGCTTGTGATGGAGGAAAAAATTAAGCTTAACGGACCCTTGTGAGGTATATAAGCAGGCAGATGTAAATGGCCTGTTTAAATCCTTTTACCTTCTATCTGTCACATTTAGGTCTGCAAAAATGGAACTCTAACTCAGGGTGTTCGTTGATTGATGCTTCACTGTCACATGGTGTTGGTGAAACTTGAGCTTACACAAGACAATTTTTCCTTGATCTCTGTAGCTGACTGAAGTGTCAAAGTAGCGAAAGAAAGGTAAGTATATGCTGCTAGGGATGGAGAGAAAAAAGTTGATCTACTTTGCCTTGCAAGGGAAAGAAATGCTACTCCTTAAATACGACCTTGCACCTCCTTGCACCTCCCGATCAAAAACATTTCCTTTACGCATGCTTATTGTCCCTTTATATCATGAGGAATCAAAATATGTACAAGTCCATTTTCTTCTCAGCAGCCATTCTCCCAGTGCAGTTCCATGTCAACATTGTTCTATTACATTCAGACCTTAGATCATTCCTTGACATTAGTGATCTAAATTGTACGGATGGGGACTGATCTGGGGTCTGAATTGAAAAGATTGGGGCTGCACTGAGAAGCTGAGAACAGAGCTGAGAGAGCTAAGGATCAGTTCAGATCTAGTTGAATGTCACTAACTACTATTAGGTATGTTGTGTATAGCATATATTAAAGAGATAATCCGTGTCTTAGCCACAGCTCTTGACTGATCATGTGGGATCTTCTAGAACTCAGATAATATACATTATATATATATATATTTGTCTCATCTTATGGGGCTTCCATTTACCTGGTCATTACGTATAAGGGAAGTAATTTATGTAAACTAATACAAACAAAGCATAATAGAGGTGTAGCCTGCAGAAACCACTTTTCTTTCATTCATTCCTTTTGTTCTTGCACAAGATTTAAACAACATGAGGCGCATAGACTTTTACTGGCAATATCAACAGTTTTATTTGCACTTGTTTCCATAAATGGCCTCTTATGTGAGTAGGCCTCTGATCTTTTAAGAATCGATGTAATGACTAAGCACAAAACTGATGAACCAATGTGAGCAAATTGTGATAGTCCAGCTGTCAGGAACTACATATAACAGAATGTCCTTCCAGCTGGAGGTTAAAGCGGACCTTTACCCATATTTTTAAAATAACAACAAACACACCGAAATGTTTAGTAATGACAATCCACAAACACATACTTCTAGATAATTGCTGGCTTTGTATTCTTTGCATAACTTACTTCTGACAGTGACCATGTTAACTAACGGCAGGTCACTAGATCTCCTTTTACTTTCTGGATTTTTGGCACATGTGACTAGACATGTGACTAGGACATGTGACCATGCACATCATCTCAGGGGAGGAAAGGCCTTTCCCTGAGATCTCCTGAGATTTCAGATGATATTTCCCAGAAATGTTCTGCTGATGACAAGGCGATCCCAGTGTGCATTGCGTTGGGAAACTGAAATCGTTTTGCCCTTTCAAAGCAGAAAGTGAATGCTCTGCAAGAGTAAGTATTTCACAATCCCAGCATTTTACACCTGACATGCCTATGTTATTATTAATCATCATACATAGAGGGGTGCATTGGTAGAATTTTATTTCTGAGTGTAAAGGTCAGCTTTAACAGTGGCTTAGATTTGCAGGGTCTCAACAACTAGAGAGCAGATGAGTCATAGACTTGTTCTGATTCCACATAAATATCGGTAAAGAACCGCTTTACATGAAATATGAGCATTTTCAGAAAGGCCAGAAAGAATCATGAATATCCTACATTTGCCTCTGCTATGTATTAAGCTACTCATAATGGAAGACTTTATGAGAAAACAGAACTGGCACACCACTAAACAATTCCCTCGTCTGCCATGTGCGTACATATAGTCAATGCTATCTTCCCAATTTACAAAAATGATGTTCATGGATATCAATACAGTGCAAATTTGGGCAGAATATAATCTACACCAAGGTGAATTAAATAACACAAATGCGTGACCAATTTATGGTTATATTTAATACAGATGCTTTGAACTCTTTTTCCACTGAGTCCCTGGATTTAAGTGAAAAATTAAACAGTTTAATTAAAGGGACAGTCCAACCCAAAGTGACATATTAGTGGTATATGAAGCCTGGGGAGCACAGTCAGCCAGGCTTCATTTCTGTTTTTTATATTTCAAAACTGATACCACCCTGCCCATATTTCCAACTCTGCTCCTAACCACTTGGAATTTATGTGTTCCCATCCACATTTGTGTTCTCCAGCTCCTCCTGTTGCATTCCTTATATTTATTTGGATGAGAAGAACCATTATGTAAAATAAAATATCCAACAGGGAATCCCTCATAACGGCAGGTGCCAGGAAATAAGTAAAGCCCATGGGAGACATAGAAACGTATAGGTGGTTTAACTTTGCAGCATCTACATGAATAAGAGTTCTGAATGGACTGATCCAGCCCAGACCAACTAAAATCATGAAAACCAGTTTTTGCTCGTGCTGTGTTAGAATGCTCCTACACTACAGTCTACTAGTCGCTCTTGGCTTTGCTTGCATCTGCACGCTATGGAGACAATGGCCCCTCCACGTCTATTGGCCAGCGGCAGTGCACTCCTCATGCAGCATCTCCGTTACTCAACAGCACCCCAATGCTGCTTGTTCTGCCCTGCCTGGCCAAATTGGCGGGGGTGCTCAATTTACTGACCCTGGCCTTACCCCAGGACTGTCTCTGGAACACCTTTTGCCTGCCACTTGCCTTGACCTTGGAACTGTCCCTGGAATACGGTTTGCTTGCTGCCAGCCCT